GTGTGGAGACAAGGAAGAGAAGTTGGACAAATGCCCCGGAACTCCCTTCCTGAATGAAGAAGGAGTAAAGGAGCCGATAGAAGGCATTGAAGAGGCGTGAATTCATAAATGCAATGCAGATGGAGCGCATGGAGAGTGTGGAAGTAGACAACAAACCACCTACTCGTCTGCACCACTCGAAACGGGGCACTCAGCACGCTGCCAAACTGCGTCGTCGCCCTGCAATGAACATCCACCGCTCCCAGGCGCCACACCTCCGACTTCCTACCTCCGCCTCCTCCTCCCCCCACGGTCAGGATGTACGAGGCATTCGAGAAGGCTAGCACTCCACCATCAAACGAGGCATTCGGTGGTGTGGAGACACGACGCGAGATACCAAAGGCTCCAGTGGCGTCGGGAGAGATGAGATCCAGAGCGAGGGGAGTCCTACTGGCCGTGGCGATGATGGAGGGGTGGGCGATGAAGAACGAGATGTTGGCGGTGGGGGGCCACACTTCACAGGTGAGCGAGAGGTCCGGATGGTTCCCATCCAAGTAGGTCACCGGGGCAGGAAGAGAGACGATGCTGGGGATTACTAAAGGCGGAGGAAGAGGCAGAGGGAAGAAGTGAGATAAGAGAATCGACTTGCGGTGCTACCAAGCATTTGCCTTCCACTCAGTGCACTTCCAACTCAGTTTATTTGCCCATCCAAATGGTCAAAAATTATCTTCTCTCCTGTCCAAAACTTGCTTCTTAGCGGTTATTCACTCACAATTTCCACCTTCCACACATAACACAATCCAGCCTTCCATTCATATGCTGATCCAATGGAACCATCCGTCCATTCGTCTTCCTGTCCGCTAGACATCCACCTAGTCCTCCAGCACACATTTCTATGCTTATCCATCTAAAGACTTAACCACAATTCCACCTGCGAGTAGCCCAACCAATTCTAGCAACCAAACATCCAACCATTCTTCCACTCGTCCATCATCCGACTCTCCTACCACTCATCCATTCACACACCCGCCTTGCCTTACCAATTGTCGGTGGAGAATTGACTACTTTAAACGTCCAAGCTGGTGGGCGCTTCCCTGGGTCGGCTGTGGCCAAAGGCACCGGTCAGAGGAGTGCTTCGCAGTTCTAGACCACCAACCAGTGTGACGTGCAGTGCTGTGCGTCTGTCTACTACGTCGCCACCTCCTCACACCCTCACACCTCGATAACCACGTCTTGCGCATTCGTTCCACCACTCTCTCACTCCTTAGTGTCTTAGGCTGCTGTCTGCGCTACATAGTGGTACAATCTGCAAAGGCAATTGCAGTTCGTTCATTCCAAAGGCGAGGTGCGAATCGCGTTGAGATGAGGCTTGTACAAGTCAAACTGGGATACTCGATAAGGCACCAATGCCTCCGCGGACGTAGCTTTAGTCAGTTCTATCCCCTCCAGTTGAATCCAATCCAACCCACTCCAGCACAGACATTCGTCGTCACAATGCCACGGCACTAGTCACAGTACACATACAGCCTGACGTGTTCAAGCAGAGAGGTGTGGTGGCAAAAACCCCCTCCAGCTCACCAGTCACCGGCACAGCAACCAACTCTCGTGAACACTCACGCCACACGTCCAGCGTCCGCCCCACACCTCGGACGAATCGTCCATGCGTGTGCACGAGCCACTCGTCTCACCAACTCCTCCCAATACCGCACCTGCCTTTTACACTGCGTTCAGACGCCGACGTAGTCCCACCACAGTGACACACAACCAAATCCATTAAGCAAGTCCATTTTGTGGCCGCCTTCACGCATTCGCACACACTTAGACCACCACGGACAGTTGAGTGACTTCTTTGTCTGCAAAAACAACCTCCTCCTCCTCCTCCTCCTCCTCCTCCTCCTGCTCGTAAATCTGCACTACTGTAGCAGCCTCACGGACACATGAAGGAACGTCGAGTGTTTACACTACCACCACAAGGGTCGGCAAAGCTGTTTACTAGCGGTAGACGCATACACAAACAAACACACGGACGGACGGACGGACGGAGGGATGGACGGGTTTTTTGTGGTGGAGTGCAAATGCATGCCAAACAGTCGGCAACTAATTCAGTCCACTTCAGCTCACCACTTTGCCTGCGCTGGGGCTGTTGAGGGTGCCATCACACTTTCCAGCGGCATGAAGCATGGCAGAGTGTCACGTCGTAACTGGCTCTCTCCCACCAGCTGGCTGACCTCACAGGTGGTTGACTTTCCAATGCACGGCTTCCAATGAAGGCGGAAACACCGCGCCCGCTGTCCACCAAATGCACGCGGTACGCAAGCACTCGTTGCAGAGTTAAAGTTCTCGCTTA